CAGCCACTGCTCCAAGCTCAGCACAGGTTGGTTTTTGCAATGATGAGATAACTTTTTGGTAAGGGGGTTATCAGGAAGATGAAACGTGTTTTAATTTCACTCTTTCAGTGGAGAGGGGGTGGGTCTTCCCTTTTATAAAAGTGCTCAGCCCGTGCCATCACTCCACTTCCTTAAGGAAGAAATCCCTAAATCCCATTGTTCTCGGTGCTGCAGGGTACCCCTATGTGGCTGCCAGGCTGGGAGGCTCTGGCTTTGATCCCCAGCTCCCAGACCTGCTCTGTGGCCTTCAGCAGGCCTCAGCACCTCTCATTTCTTCTCCACTGCTTCGTTTTCCCCATCTTACCTTGCAAACGCCGCTGGTTTCCCCTTTGCTGGTGCCTCTTGATGTTACTCTGGCCACACAGGGACTGCAGAATTAACCAGCAAGGGCACCCGGAACTGCTGGTTTGGGGATAAAAAAACCCTAGTGTGTCCCTGGTGCCATCCAGACCCCACCGATGCAAAGTGCCAGTGAGGCTTCAAAAAGCTTTATGGCACAGCTGTACGGCACAGCGCAAATAAGGATATGGGAGAGTTAGGAAATGAGAACATGCTGCTTTATAACCTTTTTTTTTTTTTTTCCCCCTCCACAAATCTTCCCGAAATTGCCATCTCAGTTAACTCCAGTAGTTTTAAATCTGCTAATAGCCCGTCGGCTGCTTTCATGGCCTAACAACTTCTAAGCCAGTTCACAAGGGTTATTTTCTGATATGATCCAAGCTCTCCTTGCTATCGTAACACATGTGAATACAGAAATTTCTAAGCTGCTCCTGCAGCAATATACCTCACCGGGGAGAGGTAAAACTGACATTAAGAGCTGCCTCCTCACATCTCTACCAGATCCGGCATCTCTGTGACTATGAAACTGAGCTGGAGCTTTTGAAATAAAATGCAATTTGCAGCATTACCAGCTGCCCAGATCCACGGCTGCTATTTGCAAAGAGGAGCTAGGAGGGTGGGATGCTGCTAGAGCAATACATCCAAAAAGGATAGCGACACCAGGACAGAAACTATCCAGGGCACCAGGCTCCTTGGAGAAGAATGTAATCAAAATAGAGCTTTCAGCTTTTTAATATCCACATCCTAAAAGACACGTAGAGGCCAGTCTGCTAGCAAGGAGCGTTTGGGTGTATGCTGAAGGACACTCTGCTAGAATTGGGCTTTTCTGCAGAGGAATGATATTCCACCCGATTTTGCATTTTTTTATGTTCTTTGTTATGTGACTTCACTGCACAAAGGGGATTGTATTCATTTGTATTACGATTTATATGTACACTTGAGGCCTGATTATATGTTGGGAGTCCTATAATATATTTACGCTCATATTTATATTTTTGTATATATTATATATGTATTCTTCTATTTCTGAACTATAAAAGAAATCACTGACAGCCATTCACGACACAGAGAACAGCTTGGCATGAACCAGGCAAGCTGCACCTCAGAGTGGAAATGTTGCAATAGCATATACATGGGAAAGGCAGTGATTTCAGGGAAGCAGAGGGGTCTCGTGGCCACAATGTCACCCTGAGCTTCTCCTTCCCCTTGCTTCCAAACTCCAAAACTGCCCTTTTTGTGTTTTGGTCTTTTCTTCACAAACGGTCATCTTGACTGCCACATGCTAGATAAAGCCTAACAGAAGTGATTTCAAAGTACAGGCAACACATTGGTAAAAATAAATGGGGGTTTCAAAGGTTATTTAATATGATCGGCTTTTCCATCCAAATCCTTCTTCATTTTTTTTAAGTGGCAGCTGTGAATAAACCCCTTTTTTTCCTCCTCAGTGTCACCTCATGCTCATTGTGTTAAGATGCCTGAAGAAGGTTTCTGTATTTTTTTTCCCTCCTATTGAGATGCTTTCATACTGCTGAAATAGGAACCTGACTCAAGTTTGTGGGTACAAAAGTTGTGTCCCACCTATTGTTTGTTTTGCAGCGCTGCATCTGTCTGAAATATCGCTTTAATTTCATATTGCTTCTTCGCAAAAGAACCCCAATTAAAGAGGCTAAAAGGAAATTCATTAATGCCACTTTTCATGAGTAACCCCATGATAAACCAAGCAGCGTGCGTGCAAACACATCATGTGAGAGATGCTTTGCCCTAATGTGCCTGTCAGCTTGGCTTTTGCATGCAGGGAAAGAAAGCAAAATTTACAAGGATTTTCCTCTTAGAAATGCTATGTGCACTGCTGGCGAGCCTGGGAAAGAAACAAAGACAGACATCAAAATAATGGAAGAACGGCTGTACTACAAAGGGGATGCACTGAGAAAATAAACCCACTGGATTTAGATTTGAAAGGGTCCAAGGGTGAAAGAATACATAATTTGCTTAAGTAGAAAAGGTACTTTCAAAATAATCATGCCGTAAAAATAAAAAACTCACAAGGGATTATTATAGTCCTGCATTTCAGTTTCAACAGATACTGCTCTTTTTATTCTCCAGCAATGAGCGCAGTGTTTTCGTAAGATTAAAAAATTAGGCCTGTCAACAATTCTGATACAATATTTTGGGAGGAAAAGTAACATTTTTCATAACAGTACATAAGCATCAGAAAGGATCCAGAAAGATCTCCTGCCATACCCACAGACTGCAAGTCCCTTTGGTTTTGGGTCCTTCCCAGAAACCCCATGGGGCCTGATCTTTTCCAGCTCAGCTCCAGAATTCAGGCTGAAGAGAACAGGAGGAGCTTTAGGTGCTTATTTAGGAATAACGCTCACACAAATAAAATCTCATATTGAGCTACTTATTTGGTTCATTCACATTTCATTGCAGCACAGGCTAAAATGAAGCACTTTAACTGCTGAATGGAGGAAAAAGAAGTCACTTCTGTCATCGACAGCTGACAGCTGCCCATTCAGCCTGCCATCCACCCTACCACGTGATATGATTAGATTCCTTAACAGCAAGCAGGAGTGTTGGATTTTCAGGAGCAGGGCTATGTTATGGTATGTGTTAATTTGCTAGGAAATCACCTTAAAAGAGCTTCAAGGGTGATGGATTCAAGTTAGCAACATGGAGTACAATAAATGCCCAAAAGGTACCTCTGAAGTGCCACATTACTGATAATTTTTTTAGCAAAGGAAACTGAAAATGACCAATTGTTCCTATGATGTGCCTCCACATAACACACTTAGGGAAGTGCAGAGGCTCTTTGTCAGGTCATCTGTCAGTGGGTATTAAGCATTAACCCACTTAAAATTTTATACATGTTTTTTAGACAGAAACCAAATGGGCAAACAGGATTCCAGGTCAAAATAAAACATGAAAGGATTTTTAATTCTATGCATGTGTACCTGCTACTGTAAATCAGTGTATGTCTATGCATGCACGCATGCGCTCAGGGGTTATTTTGTTATTATGTCCTGTTTCTAAAGAAATGAATATGTTATTCTATAAAGCAGACCTTGGAGTGTCAGATGTGAAGCTTTAAACGAGGTTGTAACAACCAATGAAACTACAACACAGAGCACACATTTTGTGTTAGCAGAGCACAAGTTTAATAAAACAGACTTCTTGCACGACAGGTTGACAAATTCACACTCATTCTTCTCAGAGCACCTGAGTTAGCAGCTAACCAGGGTCCTGCTTTTGCTCTGATCAATTCAAAAAGCTAATTTTAACCTGCATCCACAGACTGCCCTGTGCTATTGGAATGAACCTACATACATCTTGCTCGTTTTTAGCTATGGGGTTTTCACGTGAAGGAAATTCAGGGTTACATCTGTAGGAATGCCACCTGAATAGAAAGATTAAGAAATGTTTAATATGACAACCTTTGTCTCCTCACATGTGTATGTCTAGCCTGTCCTATGCCATTTCCGATCATGGGCATATCCTGACTCCTCCCTACTTCTGCCTCCTTGCCAGCACTCAGATATCCAGGAGGGGAGTTAAGTCATTTTTAAATGCTGGCCTCAATCAGATGTGCTAGGACAACAAAGACAACTTCCAAAAATCTTTAATCAACTCTGTGTTGTCTTAATTGTTTTCTCTCTTTACTTCTACATTCTTACCTTTAAATATATCCTGTGTTTTATGTCATTAAGTAGTACAAGAGAAAAGCCAGACACTATGCAAGAATACAGCCAATTCTTGGAGGGCAGGAGGAAGGGAAAAGCATTACCAGCAAAAAAACCCATCCGGAGTCCACGAGAAGATGGCTGATTTCGGAGATCAAAACCGAGTGACATCCCTTTAACTTACAGCATTGTATATAGCAATCAGCTTTGTGCTGACCTCCATTAACACTACATGACTTCAAGTGGCAAGTGCTCCGCGACACCCTGTTCTCCTAAGGCTGCCAGTGCCTTAGCTTTACGTTACAAGGGCAGAGACACCGACTTGGAGCATGTGGGAGGTGTCACAAGGTCACTCCAGAGAGGGTGATTTTGCGTGTGCTTCACCCCTCCTTTAGGGCTGACAGCAGGTTATAAAGGGGTTCTTAAACTATGCATATTCATCTATTTTCTCTTATTTTAATTACAGCAGCTGATGGTGCCACTACTGAACAACCACGCTATTCATTTTTGGTGCTTTTTCATTCACCGCAATACACTTGGGGCTGGTCTAGTGCCATTTCCAAGAATCTGGCTTCTTTTTCCTGCTAGGTATAGTATCTTTTGCAGAGGATACGTGACTAGGTGTCTACATAGGAAATGGAGCAGGACAGTTATGGGCGACCCCCACAGACATGACTATTTTCCCCAAGAGCTACACGAGGAACATATTCTTCACCCCGCTGTTTTCCATAACTATTTTGCCATTTCTTAACACTAGCACAGTAAGTCAGCAAATTACAGAGTCACTGACGGGGTTGCTCTGTGCCTGCTGAAGAAACACTCTATGTTACACAGCAAGGCAGGGTCTCGGGGCCAGATCCGCAGAGATATTTAGGGGCCTAACTTCTATTTCGGACTTCCGTGGGAGGCTGGTGCCTAAATAGGAGTTGAGCACCTGATTACCTTTGCAGGCCTGGACTCGGGGGGAGAAATGCGCTCCACGTGCCTCGCCTCAGAGACCCTTCCACGCGCGTAGAGCGTGGTGGGGTGCCACCCTGGTGTTGTGAAGTAGCCGTTCTCCGACTGGTGACGCCCTGATTCACCCCCCCCCCTGCCGCACGCCACCGGCGGGGCCGCCCGGCCTGCCTCGCTGTCCTCTTCCAGCGCTCCATCTTCCTTGACGTCGCAAGCTAAAAACAAAGGGATAGCGTTAGGTCCACGAATCATACGGGTTCTCTATCCCTGCCAGACTGCTTAAAACAAGATGCAAGTGTGAAGGGTGCTTTTCTCCAAATAAAGGTGCCACACTCAAGATTTACTGCTTTGTAAAGGTGGGCAGTGTAGTGTTCAGGTGTACAGCTTGCTTCTTGCTGCTCACTCTCTACACTGGTTCCGTAAGGAAAAGAGGCTTGCAGGCAGGCGAAGCAACCTAGAAACTCAGCCAGGCCCTATGAGGCGCAGCAGAAGCAGGCTGCTTCTTCGCGGATCCTGGGATGTGCTCAGAAGGAGCACGGCGCCCCAGGGAATGCATGGCTTCTTCAGCACTACGCTGCTGCTTATCCCTGTGTCCCTCAGGCCTGCGTCGTGTCTGCTTCTCTGAGGACCTGGCAGCCATTGAGGGGACTATGCCACAGCTAAGCACTACAGCTGATCTTCTGTTCCAATCACACCAGGAATTAGGGATTCCAGCACTTTTATATTAGTTAAAGCAAAAAAACCCACAAACCAAAGACATAGATCTGATATCAGCGAGCACACAAGCTATGGTAGCCTGCCAAGAGCATGCATCTGGGAGTTGGTTGGGCTGTTCCTAAGGGGATACCAGCAATGCCTTATCTTTATAGTTCATCTGGACACCTGGAAAACATGCGCGAGAAATAACCTTGAACCAGTTATAGCCGCAGCAACCAAAAGCTGAAAGAAAGCCAAGTTTTTGTGAATTAGTTTGGGACTCTTACTGGGATATGAACCCACTGGAGGACTTCTTAACCAATCAGGAGATGAAGAAAGTGATACGAAGCCCAGCAAACCTCCAGGGAGAAACTGCTAATGGGTCTTGTGAGATTGCCTGGATGTGGAGGCAAAACTCTGGACCTTTTAGACAACAGGAGTATCCTCCCCCACGCATCCCCAGCCCGATTTAATCCAGAGGAAACTGCACACATTGCCTTCCAGAGCAGAGAAGGAAGATGTGGTCATATGGAGTCCTGAGGCAGGAAAGCCATTAGCATATGCAGTAACAGAAGATATTCCAGAGAGACAGGTTATATAATTCAGTCGCCGCGGGAAATGGAGCTAAATTTCTTGACACCCGTGCATGTGTCTGCACTTGTAAAGTCTCAGTTGTGTTGTACTAACAGAGCTTTTACTTAAAGAGCAGTTTCTGCGATTTTAATACACTGGGATACACCGAACAAAACAATGTATTTATATTTCATGCGTATCTATTATTCAGTCTTCAATGCGGAAAGGAAGCGGCTGAAAGCTGAACTCGTGTTTTGACTGGTGCTGATCAATGGTGACACGATAACGCCGGATGAAGGCGAATGGCTTCCCTGAAGCAGCTCTTGTGCTGCGTGTTGTGGCACTCCGCGCACTTGACAAAGCGCGTTGTGTCACATGCGGGTAATGCCAAATACTTTCTGTACGTTCTCTGTTCCATGGGAACACAAAAGTCTGTCACTAGTGCTGTGAGTGGGAAAAGTAATACAAATGATCGGAGCCTTTTTCAAGGTTGCTTAAAACCTTCTGAAACTTCTCATGCAATCTGCGCTAACTATATCACTGTGTATATATCTTTATATATATATATTTTTTCAACCAGGATATTGCATGCACTGCTTGCTTTCTGGAAGAAGCCAATTTAAAAGTCTTTTTGCAGTAAGAAGGTATTATACACATTACAACTGAGAAACTAATTATACTTAATCTAGGACGCTCACTCCCCCTACAGTACTATGCACAGAGGCTGGCTTCAGGCTTTTTTTTTTTTAAACTTACTATGGTTTTATTTAGTCATCTTTTGGCAGTTGTTTTTATGTTCTCTAAAACTATGTGCTTTGAAAGCTTTATGATTTCAGATGGGGATAAAATTACATGTATTTAAATGTGCAATTTCACATACAATTTGAGTAGCTACAGCTATGGCACTGTATGCTCCCGTGCTGTCCAGCCTGCTGGGCCTACAAGCCCCGAGGGGAAAAAAAAAAAAAAAGCAGCATATTTATTTTAGGATCACACTAGTACGTTACAAGAAGAATCTTGTCTCCTGTAAACAGAAAAATAAACTGTGTTTGGGGAAAAAAAGCCCAACAGCACAATCCTGCACAGGACTATAGACAGCAATGGGAACGCCAGCAGCCAAGAGTTTATTCTTGCTTTTAATATTCCATGCAAATAGATTTCCTTGCTTTGGTCACAGCAATCTATTAATTCAGTCCTCTTGTCTGTTACATCTTTATCCTCTGCAGGTTAATCCTGATAGATTCCTTTGCTGTAGTAACATGCCACACAGCATATAACATCCAACAATACAATTTTGCTAATCCTGTTTTATCAGCTTTGATGCCCTGTCTGGTCAATCCAATTGCGAACAACAAAAAAAAAGCCCGTAAGGTTTTTGCCAAGATCTCCTTCTCTTTTGCCCTCCCCCTCAACTCCCTCTTTTTTTCTTGCACAGTTTCAATTAAATGGTTTGAGAGCAGAACACAGTATTTGGATATCTGCCAATGTCCTTCAGACACAGAATGTCAACACACTTAATTATATAGGTCTCCAAACTCTTTCAGACGCCCCACCTTCCCAGTCAGCTGCATACACCAAATGCAAGTGTAAAAAATCAGCTCAAATCTCTCTTTTTTTATAGCACTCTCCATGCATTAAGGACTTGAAGATGGCTGAATAGCGGTATATTTATCGCCCATTATCTCCCAAAAAGATTAAACAAATGAGTAAAGACTGTCTCATTAACCATTCTTTGTTGTCTTGTTTACTCTTTAGTGGGCTCATTAACATTAATTATTAGAAGAGGAACATCAATTCTTGCAATAACCTTTGTCAAGCGGAGCAAAACGCAGCCATCGGGGTGTGTTTATCAGGCAGGATTTGCATGTCCAAAAGAAGAAAGGACCAGTGAAATCCTGGATGTTACTCTAAATCTTGGATGTTGCAGCAGGTTCAATGTCACTTGTTAATTCTGGCATGACCAGGACACACAGCTGCAGACTTCCAGGAAGCAAATACCAGGGTGAGTGATTTGGGAGCCTCATCTCCTTCGCAGAGCCTGCTCGCCCAGCCACGGGCGGTGGGATGAGCCCACGGGCATCTCTACCCCTGGTTGCGCTCCGCACACCGTATTTATTGCACTAATTATTTTAACAGAGGGCGCAGCCCTTTCTCTCCCCCCATCCTCAGCTCGGTGTGTATGCTCTTATAAATACACTGCACACGGCAGCACTGGCTTCAGGATGCTCGGTGAACATGCTGCAAGAGCCAGAAGCTTTACTGTCTCAGGTGAGGGGCATTTTAAAGCTGCTACATATTATGGCATGGGATCCCCTCTCCTCTTCCAATTTCTCTTCCCCAGGTAGAGATTTCCTCCTCTGCCCGAGCAGAGAGTCAATGTTATATCAATATTTTAAACACACCACACATTGCAGCAGCTCTGGCAGGAGTTAAGTTTCAGCACAACCCCATCAATTATTTAAAACATCGCGGGGAAAAGGGCTGAGTCACCACGCTGGATCTGACACCCCTGACACCGTTTCTCAGCCTAAACACAAGCGCCAGGCTGCGCCCAAGCACGAGCGAGCCTGTTCAAAAGGACCTCGGAGCCAAATCCATGCCATGTAAGATTATATTTGTATACCAGGATAAACGAGGGCAGCTAAGCACTGCGCATTTTGCAGCTGCTTCCACAACTACAGGGGGGGAATGCAAAGATCCTAAGTCTGAAGAGCTGCACAGGGATGGCTGCTCTGGCAGCAGCACCACCAGGAGCCTTCCTCCTCGCAGCCTGTCCTCCTCGGCCCGCTGCCCTCCAGCACAGCCCACCCGCGCTTCGCACCACAGCAGCTTCCCCCACAGCTCCGGCCCAATTAAAGCGTGAAACAAATAAACTATTTGCTAAATTAGCGATTCTGAGCCCACAGCCTCGTGGCTGCAGAGAGGTCCACAGAGATGGCTCAGCGTGTTACCTTGGCGCGAATTTGTGCTGACCGCACGGGCCATCCATCTTGGCAGCCTCCGACAGCAGTGCTTAGCTAGCAGAATGTAAACATCTCCCAACTTTGCTTACTGGATAAAAGGAAGCATTAGCTTCCGACTGCATTTCCTCCTCCGAGATCAATCATATGTACAGGCCGGGCACAGCATCCCTATGTTTATAAGTAATCTGATAAAAGCAGAACGTCTCCTCTCAATCGATTGCTGTATTTGTATGCAGCCTCCCTGATAAAATAAAAAGGGGGAGCAGAATAATAAGCAGCTGATCCCTTAATAAAGGCTGGTGCATGATATATACACACAGCAAGGTGCTTCTTCAGTGAGCTGATCCGTTATTGGAAAAATCACCTTGTCATGAATGTTGAGCATTAAACCTAAGGAATGCAGGACTGATTTTAGACATCCCAAGAGAGGAAAGCAGTTTCATCATGGTGGGGTTCAAAAGGATTTGGGGTTTTTTTTGCTTCTGATATATCTTCAACAAAGCAGTGCACAGGCACTGCAAAACCGCCTCCCATCCTGCAGTTGTTTCCCTGTCTCTTCTGAGCACTGCTGACTGCAGACAGTGAAACAAAACACCACCCAGTTTGTAAACTGACCCGCTTGTGCACAGGATCTTCCCTGACACCAATACATCTGACCAAGAAGTGCATATTCTTCACATTTCCCTTGCCATATATGGAAATATTAAAAATCCAGACTAAAAAACCTGTTTGTTAACCACCCCCTTCCCTGCAAACTGCTATATGTTCCAATTTAATGAAGATTAATTTCTTTCCCTTTCAGGTTCTTCCCTTGCGCCTGTAATGTTACTGCACTGCTGAGGACTACAGAGAATCAAGCTAGCAGGCAGAGGGACTCAAATGTAGACCATCTCAAAAAGAAATTAAAAAGCAAGCACTACTCATCAATCCCTGGGATCCAGGCCTGACTTCTAGCACTGTTTCAAATCTATTGGTGTCATTGCACAAAATGCATTGAGCTCGATGACATTTACATTGGACCAGCATCTTTTTCGCCATCAGAAAATAAACAAGTCTCCGAGACATATTTAGATCAAACGTATGTTCCTGACAGGCAGCACACTAGTCTAAGGTGTCATTATACGTTTGGTTTTAAAGGAATAATCTGAAAAATTGCTTGCTGAATGCAATGCAGACATGTCAGGAAAGGCTCTCCCCCAAGATCTCTGCAACAGCTGTACAGAGCCCCATTACAGGACTCGCTCTCTTGTACAGCACAAAACCTGTTCTACGGCTTGGAGATTAGTGTCTGATGCTGCTGTAACAAGCAGCACTTCTCTGAGAGACAGAAAAAAAACGCACACAGTCTAGGAAAACAGCTAATTTACAGCAACAGAAAGAAGCACGAGTAAAATGATGACTCTAGAATAAAATAAAATATGTGGCTAGTGGTATCTGCATCTTTGCCAACACTACACCCGCATCAGGGTGGCCTGCAACACCTGCAAGCTCCTTCCTGCCCATCAGCACCGAAGACAGGAGTGGACTGTGAAAGGGTCTCTGCTAAATGCTCTGATGTGGAATGGCCTCTCTGAGGACAAAAGTTGATTGTTTTAATCCCCTGCTATTGCATTTTCTAAAACACCTCTTTAAATTAAACAGCCTTTAGCCTTTGAAAAATAAAAAGTCTTTCTTCTGAGGAAATAAATTTCAAATATGTGCTAAATGCCTGAGTTTACTCTTTCCTTGCAATGCACTTAAATAATGCAGCTTTCCTTTGGCATATCCATGGGATTTTCATCACCAAGGGGATGCCAATGCCACTCCCCATACCCAGGATAGGGACTCAACTCCCACCTTTCAACCCCACAGCCCATTACAAGATTTCCTGGTCCTTGTTTAGCAAAATCACTAACAAAATCAAGCACCCCAACACCAGCCTGACTCTTCCTGCACCTATGGCTATCTCCCCCGGGGCAGCAGCCCTGTCCCCACACTGCCCATGCTCAGGTCTCACATCTGGGAGCTGGCTCCCCAGGCACGCTCCCACCCTCCCTCCTCCCCTGCAGCATCGTGGGGCACGCGGAGCTCATAAATGCACCTAAATCCAGCCTGTGTATCAGCTGGGGCTCGCAAGCACGCACCGGCTCTGTCCTGGGACACCTTCTTCAGGTTCGCGAGCTTCCCTGGAAAATCTTTGTTGAAAATCCTAAAGGTGCAGCGAGTCGGTGAGAAGCCCTCAACCGATCTTGTCCTCTGCGTGTTGGTGCTGTTGAGCATCTTGGAGCTGCTTCCCCTCCTCCGGCTCCACTTAGCCGGTCTTGGCAGTCCGGGATGAGAAGGACCTCTCTTTCTGCCACCTCCTCTAAGAAGATGTTGGCTGCAAACGTCGACTGCTAAAACTGAAGCGCTGTTCAAATGCTCAGTGCCTGCTCAGGTGCAGAGGAGATACAGTCCCGCCACTAGTCGCTGGCGATTTAAAATGACTTAAAGTGCAAGCATGGTAAGCATTCAACTGAAGGGAAAAAGGCAACCCCACGGCCAGGTATTGGATATTAACCTATACTTTCTACTACTGCTTAACAGAGAACATAAGACACTTGGCTGACTTAGAAGTTTTGATGCCTCTCCAAATACCTTCAGGCAGTGAATCTTAGAAGATTGGATTTTCCTGTGGCATTTGACTTCTCTGGCTGAAACCCAGAGAGCTCAGAGGAACTGAGAGATTGGAGGTGAAGGTAACCCATAAAAAACAATAATAATCTCACCTCAGTTTCTGAGTAAACCTCACATAAAGTGAATAAGGAAGGGAACTTTCTTATTTTCTACATATTCTTGTGACCATCACTGTCCTTTATACCTACATGTACCGTTCTGTAGTCAGAACAGTATTGTCTGTAGGACAAATAAAATGCAAGCTGTTCTTCAAAGCACAATTAATTTCTCAAGCCTGGTGACCGAGGAGAAGCCTGTTCTCCTCATCCCTCTGCCTTAATATCACTGAAGACAAATATTGATGGCAGCTCTGCCCTCAGCCAAATGCCACGTGCATCATCAGTGCTTGCCCACCACATCTCTAACAGACAAATTGCAGTCCTGGGTTAGGGAGAGCGATCATGCTAGCATTAGAAGTTAAAAAGTCAGGTTAATGAAAGGTCTGTTGGAACTGGAGATTTCCTTCAGTGGTGTTGGATACTGGAAAAATCAGGCTGGGAGAAACTGAGGGCGGGAGTGAGCAGGAGCCTTTGCAAAGGGACGTAGCTGTGACTCCACACATGTCCATGTTGCCTTTTCTTCCACTGAATCCCACAGGGTTTATAAATTGTCAAATAGAAAGAAAACTGTAAGGTGCGCCAAGCTTTACAAGCCGAGCAGAGCAGGTGGGAAGTGTGATTTGACTCCCATGCCATAAAAAATCATAGCCAAAACACACTGATCTTTACTACAGGTAAAAAAGTAGTTGCAGAGAGCAAGTGCGGTGGCTTCTGCCTTTCAAAACCACTCTGCAAATACCTTGTGCAAGGATGGAGTTGTAATAACTGGGGTGCCCAGCACGTGCGAAAATGTAGCCATCTCAAGCAGACTACTGCCCAAAGTGGTTTATTTGCTTACTGGAATTCCGACAAGAAGGCCACATAAAGCAGCAGCCTGCTCAGGGATTTAGGGATTATTTTTTCTTCCTTTGCATTGCACAGACTGCAATGCAACCCAGGTGCAAACAAGCTAGCCCCTCATATGATACCATGCCAGAGAAGAAAACAAGTCAGAGTGAAACTACTTCACCTTTTAGTGAAGTACTAATCACCGTTTAGAGATTTACTGTGACCAAACTTGACGTATGGTCAGTGCACCACAAATGCTAAGCCTCAGTCCCCAATTCAGCTGCTCTCCTTTATCACAACAGGATGCATCTGTCTGGCAGTAGGCTCTGAAAACATAAAGTAATCTAGCGTCTGGAATATAAGAAGTTGCAAGGAATCGTGTTTTAGGTTCGTAATTTAATTAACAATAACATATTACACTATCTTCTGCCTCTTGTTTTGCTCTTGGTTCTTATTCAAACTTGCTCTCCATTAATGAACAGAATATAATCAGGAAAAACAAACGTAAGAGAATTCAATTAAGTATTAAGAAAAAAAGAGGGTGAGGATTCTCACTACACAATATCCAGGTCCCTACAGGGCATTTTATTATGGTACTACATCTATTTATGACCAATGACCACAAGTATTCTGAAGACGGGAACTGCACAGTATTGCATTTTAACCTGTACCTAAACGTGCAGATGGCAAACATTCTCCTAGGTGCAAAGAGGATGCTCGGGAATGAAGTGGAGCTTGGGTTATTTGCACAAATAAGCCGTTTTTCTTCCCCCAGCAGAAATGACAACAAAAGTACCCCTGTCATTGTCACAGCCTCCTGAAATGTTAACACTGAACCATGCGTGTGTGTGCAGGCAGCTTTTGTTACCGTTTGTCTAGAAAATTATAATGGGTGTCTTTCCTTGTGCACTGGCTTGTGTGATAGAGGTTTAGAAGACAAAACCAAGCCCGGTCTTTAATAGAGTGTTACCAGAAGCATCTCCCTTAGGGAGGCATTATGGCCATCTAGTTGATGAGGTATAGGCTCCGTTAGAGAGAAATTGCCACAAAACGTTTTAGAGGAAAAGCGGCCCCTTCATTAACACATGTGCATAATTGCTGATGCCCCCTGCTCCTGGATGGGGGGAGAGAGAGGCAGCACAGAGATATGCAAGAGCAGTCACAGGGTCTGCTCCTCCCGATCATTCCCTGGACATCCTCCGAGTTTAACTTCTATCAGCTGCAAAATGCTTTTTGCACATTCACCGAGATTTTGAGATCCCGGCCCAGAAATACCCTGGAGCAGTCGGCAGCGCTCACCAGCCCACGGTTCCTTGCGGAAGGGCCACCGAGTGTCTGCAGCGTTTCAGGAGCCCAGGCAGGCATTCCAAACAAATTTTGAAAGGTTTTATAAACAAATCCTAAGGAGTTTATTAAATTGGCTGGTTTGGATACAGAAGGCATAAAAAAAATTCTTGTAAATTAGGGAGGGTAAATAGAAATCTAACTGCAAATAATAAAACTACACAAACGGTAAAAGAATGATGACTAGATTGCCGTATTTTGAGAGGATTTGAGGCAGATGTGAAACAGGTGGTAATTATTTGCTACAGAGTAACTGCAATTTGCTTGAATTAACTGCATAATACATTTTGGCCACAAATCCTTGTATTATGCAATGTCTCCTGAACTTCTTTAGGGGAAAAAAATAGCAGCATAGCCAGTTGAATTTTACCACAGCACTTACATTATTTTTTATCCTCACTAAAATACAAACATTTAGGTTGACCTTTGAGGTCAGGCAAGCTGCCAGAGCTGGCAAGACCAGCAGCTCCAGACAGAAAATGAGTATTGGCTCCAAGCGAGAGTGACCTTCTGGCTGGTTTCCCCCCAAAATGCCACGCAGGGGCTCACCCCCACGCTCAGCCCCGATCCGAGAGCCCTGGGTGATGCTCTTGCAGAGGGCACAAGACCTGCTTGCCTCTGAGCGGCTCACAAGAATTTGCCAGCAGGTCTCGAGGGGCACTGGGCTTCATGCTGAGAGAACCGGGGAGAAGGCTGCATGAGCTAAGATGCTGGAAAAGCCCCATAATGGCCAACTTGGGCCATGGAAATAATATTTCCTGGGCCTGGAAGTTTTGCTGGAGCACACAGTTCCCACCCTGGCCTGGCCAAGGAACGCTGGGGAGAGGAGGGTTTTGCTGCGAGCACCAGCTCTCCCTGCTAACAGGGCTCACACGTGCACCCGGGCAAAAGGCTGCGATGCCAAAATGGGGTTGAGGTAGTGATGAGAAGCCGCGGCACATACAGTTAAGTAACACAGGATGGAGTAATGCTCAAAAGCCAGCCTGGGTGACCGCATTTGCTGGCAAGAGCCTTCACATCCAAGTTCATCTTCTCCCCTAAAAATCAACACCTAGCTAGCGGGAGCTCTCCTGGCACAAGGAGACGGTGAGCATGTTGCCACGCTGTCATACTTAATTGCAAACACTACCAAAATAACTACAAGTGACCTGCGGTTTACACGGGAAAGAGACACTGAAGGGCAACAATTTGTTATTAAATTAGAGGTGGGCACATATCTAGTGCCTTTTATTTTTTTTAAATTATTATTTTCTCCCTTAAATCTTAATTTGGAAACCCCCGCTCTGAATGGAAGATCTGGGCTGCATCCTGTGCTTGCAGGTAACTGCTGTGCCCCTGCTTCTTAGCTACAGACAGACTGACTGTATTCCTCCCAGTTCCACAAATGCAAACTAATTACACTGATGTTCCAGTGGAAATTTCCTGTTCGATTTGGCATGCTATTCTTTCAGCATGCAATGATGAAAAATCCTAATTTGCTTCAGACAAGCCTGTTAGCTGTATTAATAAATTACAGCACTGAAAATATAAGGAGATAGTAGTGTCTGACACTGCAATAGTAAAAAAAAAAAAAAAGGCATTAAGCTAAAAGTATTAAAATACTGACTAGCAAATGCATTTGCTATATTTAGCTTTTACCCTACAGTCTGATAATCCTAAAGTGGAATGAAAAACCTGCTGAATCACTACATCTAAAAATGTATTCTTCTTCGAGCAAAATGTGCCAGCCACATAAAACCGAATCCTGAATGCTTTGTGTCCTACATTAAAATACTTACTGAAGTGAAAGAGATAAAGGAACACCTGAGAACTTCCCGAATGCACGGTTCAAAGGAGCTGGGAATTAAATCAAAATTAATGTACATGCAAGTAAGTATTCAAATTGCTTTGCAAAAGGAGTGCTCTATCTGTTTTGATAATCCCAAGCACCGTGACAGTTTGAGAATACAGGCACTGTATGAATATGGGATCCTGCACTGCACTCCCTTAGTCAGGAACAAGGGTGAGAGAGTTGACTTCAGTGACACTGCTCACAAATGCAAAGATTGAGTCCTGCAAATGCTTTATCCAGTGGTGACTGATAAACTCGTGGGGGGAAAATAAAGCAACCCTCACAATAATTCACAAATGGCTTGTGTATGCAATGTTTTAAAGGACAGACTATGGGCATAGACAGAGCAATGCTCTAAGAAATGCAGACAACAAACACTAAGACTATTGAGGATCTATTTTAAAACAGGAGGCATATTTCATCTGCCAAAACATTCTTTTTAGAGAAACTAAAGGTATCAGGAGCCTACCTTGTTTGAATAAACTGTACTATGTTATAATTTC